GACACTTGACCTCGCGAACCACTGCTGAAACTACCAAACGCCGGCTTCTTGTATTTCCCGAACAGCAAGGGAAGCGCCGTTCGGTAGTTCTATGCGAACGGACAAGGGGAGCAATCGCTGCTATGAGCCAGGGGGATCCATTCAGGACTTTTGTTCGGTTTTTACAGATTTGTGAATTGACCGACCGCACACGCTGAATTCATGGAACTGTTTTGGGCAGGAGCCGCGTGTGTGGTCTGTAAAAGGGACCCTCCACACTTTTTCAGAAACCCTGAACCGATCTGGGTGAAATTTGGATATGTTTGTCCCCCACATCGGGGCTATCAGGGGAAATTTAATTTGTGGGGATACCTGGGGAACGGGGTGTTCTAAGTTTTGGGGAAATTGTGTGCTCTCTGCCTGGAGATAATTGGTTTATTCCATAACTTATCTCAATATCTCCCAGGCAGAGAGAAGGCGTGTATTACTGTAAATCTGTACGTTGATTGGCTGTTGTCTTTGTTTGCTGTGGGAGGTCCTCTTGCAAGCCCATGTGTGTTAATAAAAAGCCCATGTGTGTTAATAAAATTCATTCCTGTTACACCCTTCATGAAGTCTAGGCTCATGTTTGGGGGATATTCTACTTGCTGGGAAGAATCACCTTGGAACTGCATTTCATCTATCGTATTCCTCTACTCCCAGCTGCAGCTATAATCACTCATGCTCAGCTGTTGGGAAAGGGAAACGAAGACCGCAGCACCATAACCACTGCAGGTCTTAAAAATTACATAGAATAAATTTGATACAGAGTAAAAAATTATGTTAAAAAAAGAGGGTATAGGCTAGATAAAAGGGGAAAAGGAGAAGCCTTCATTAAGTCCATTGGGACATAGGGTTTTCAGTTTATCCACTGGCATTCCCTTTTTCTTAGGTATCCACCGTAGTCACCTCCTCATAAATCTTTTTTGACGAGTTTGAGTTGGCAGAACCTCAATCCGTTTTAGTTGCCTGAGTGACATTCTTTTAAATGTCTGGAAAATGGAGTTTCCATAACATTTTTAGTGGATCTGGCATGTTCATTTATTCTTTCTTTAACGGGATGAAATGTTTTCCCCACATACAGGGAAGGTTAGGTTAGGTTAGGTTGCATTCACATGTTAGAAGATAGACTAGTCCTGCCGTGTTATAATTAAAAACCTGTTTGATCTTGAACTCGTTGGTTTTATCGCTATCAGTTACACTCTTTTTTTATTTATGAGTTTGCACGCAACACACCTTCAACATTAAAAAAGTGCCCACCAGAGAATTCCTTAGCCAAGTTTCTGGTTTTGGGCATTTTAATTGGAAGTGACTTGGGGCTAAGGAATCGCATAGAAATTTCCCTCGGCGGGCTGTGATGTTGGCCCGTCGTACCAGAACTTCTTTGAGGTGTATATCGTTGGTTAACAATGGCCAGAACAGTTCAATTGAATCTTTTATGACATTCCACCCTGCATCGTAAGTGGCTATCATTCTGATCATATCGCTGGAGGATTTTGGATGAGGGTCACCAAGCAAGACATTCTGATTGGCCTCTAAAGCGCTCCGGTATGCTTTCTTCATAGCACGGTTGGGATAGCCTTTCTCTTTAAACTGCTGTCTTAACAACCAAGCTTTGATTTTAAAATCGTCAATGTTACTGCAGTTTCTTCTCACCCTGAGATATTGGCCTGTAGGTATGCCAAGTCTCAATGGTCTCAGGTGAAAGCTATCCCACCTCAGGAAGCTATTAGAGGCTGATGGTTTCTTGAATAGAGAAGTTTGAATCTTATTGTCATCAGAGATTGAAATAGTTAGATCTAGGAAATTCAAGTTTGATCCACCAAATTCAGAGGTGAACCTGAGACCTGCAGTAGTCTGCTACAAATAGTTCAAACTCCTCTACTGTACCTTGTCACACGATAAGAACGTAATCTATATAACAACACCAAGTGTGTATTAGTTGGAGGTATTTGGATAGATGCCCAAGCTGAAATAGATTTTCCTCTCACCACCCCAGATGAAGGTTGGCATATAATGGGTCACATCATCGCTGTGCCTCTCGCTGTACCTCTCACCTGGTGGTAGTATTTTTTATTAAATAAAAAAAATTATGTGACAAGATAAATTAAAGTAATTTTATTACAAAGTTTGTATGTGCTTGGTGATCTTTTATCCAAAAAATATTCCTCATGTGACAGACCTCTATCGTACGGTGTGGAGGAATAGAGGGATTCCACGTCTAAACTACAAAGTCTTGCAGTGGGTGGTATAGTGAGGTCTGAGAGAAGAACCAACGTTTGCTTTGTGTCCTGGGTGTATGAGGGAAGTTCTTTCACATATGGTCTCAATAGCTTGTCAATGTAGACACTCCCATTCTGTGTCATGTTATCAACGCCTGGCACAATAGGTCTACCTGGGGGTCTAGTGAAATCCCTATGCACCTTAGATAGGCAGTAAAAGGTTGCTATCCTAGGGTGACGATTTAGAATGATTTTATATTCTTCACCCAATAGCAACCCCTCACTGCGGCCCTGGTCAAGTATTTCCTTATATTTCAAGAGAAATACGTTTGTTGGATCTGCACTCAAGGTCCTATAGGTTATTTTTATTTATATAGTTGTCAGAATTTAGGACGACTATATTACACCCTTATCAGTAGGCTTTATGATGATTTTGTCATCCTCCTTCAATGAGTTTAAAGCCTGTTGTTCTCTTTTTGAGAGATTCCCATTTGGGTGGAATTCTAGATTTTTCGGCCTTATTTTTTCTATCTAATTTTTTACTGCTTTTAGAAAAAGTTCTATATTTTAGAAAGTTACCTAGATGGGGGGGTGAATTGACTTTTTGGTCTTAAGTCAGTATGGTTAAGTGGTTCTTAGTCATCATTTTCCTCCAGGAGTGACACCAGTGTCATTAGACATTTGTAGTCACCCCCGGATAGACCATAAGACTTGGCTCTCTTCTCATCCCTCAGTTGATGAAATTTATGAAAGGCCAGTTTGCATGTAAAGAAATGTAGGTCCTTTACCCAAGTGAATCTATCAAATGTGGGAATTGGTACAAAGGATAGACCTTTCTCCAGGAGTCTCAACTGATGCTCATTCAGGACACAGTTTGATAGATTAATTACTTTTAGAGGGGCTATGTCAGTGGATTGAGTTTTGGAGGCTAAAATGTCTCCTTCTTTCCCGGCTTCTCCCATTCCCTCCTCGATTTTGCATTGGATACCTATTTCTCAGAGTTTGAATGCAATCCTGGGTGCCTACCATGAAAAAAAGAACACCCTTTTTAAGAATACTTCTAGTGTTTGAATCCTGTAATGAGGAGGTTTGGTGGTGAGACTTAGAGGACCTTTCAGAGTTCCAGATGATTAAAGTCTGAGGTTAAGTAATTTTCAGAATTCGTTCTGACTATCCTTGGGAAATGTTTATATATGTTATTGGTCTGTTAGTCTTTAGAATCTCTAACAAATTTTTGATGTTTTCTAGAATTGATAATATGTTGGTTGGTCAAGATTCTGTTTTAGTTTAAGTTCCAGTTGGTTAAAGTGTACATCAGATTGATGTTGATTGACATTCTCAATTTCCACATCGAGTTTAGTGTTGATGTCTATTAGTTTAGCTTTTTCAAATTTGCAGATGATTGCCATCAAACGTTTGGAACAATCTCCTGCCGCAGACTCCCATTCTTTAACTAGGTCTGCATTTTCATTATGTGAAGGAGGTATATTATGAATTCTTAGCCCCCGTGGGATCATATTTTTCTTGAGATGAAACTTCCCAACAGGCCCTAACCTCTTGCTTGTGCAATTTGCAGAGATTATTAAATGATTGATTAATATTTGAGGTAGATTCAGGAAGACTTTCTCAGTGTCTTTTTCCAAATAGTTCTTAATACCTGTTTTGTTTTTTTTTTTATCTAAGTACATTTTGTAACTTCAAAAGAGATGGCAGGATTTGTATCTAATAAACCAGACAGTAAGTGGTGTAAGGACACTGAGGATGTCTTTTGTTTATCTCATTTATTTTATTTATAGCTACTGTATACCGAACATAACCTAGAATTCATAAGGAAACAGATACTACTAAGTGATACCATTCAACCTGGCTACATTGTTTTTGAATCAAACAGTCAGGTGGATAACTTTTGGTTAAAAATATTCCATGATATAATCTACCTCTAATCTACTAAATACTACATCTAGTGTTTCACTACCTTATGTACATATTTAAAAGTAATTAGTTCCCTTTTTAATCACTTTTTGTTTTTCACTATCACAATTAAGTGTTTATCTGTGTTTTTTTTGTTTTGTTTTTTACTTTTGTGGCACTATACGTCATTGCCATTTAATAAAGTTTTCTTTTTTTCAACTTTTGCTACACATAGGACTGCAACATCTATAGTGGTGACATTCTGAGTTCTGGTACCAGTGTTTTTCTGAGACCAGCTCTCATTTCTTTTCAATATTTGTATATCAGGGTTCTGCCCTGGTTATCCACTTAGCCCTTTTTCAATGCAACAGGTGTAGGACAGTTTCTGCCTTGCACTTAATGTGCTTTTTTTCCATAAATTAAAAGTTAATCCATCTTCAGCATTACTCAGCAGGACATCCAGAAAATGTACACTCGATCTGTCATATTCCAAGGTGAATTTGATACTCGGGATACACTTATCAAGATACGATTTGAATTGAAGTAAATTGTCCTCCGTGCCATTCCAGAGAAAGAACACGTCATCAATATAACGAAGCCAAATAGCAATGTGTTTGAACATGGGATGTGAATAGACAAAATCTTCCTCAAACTTGGCCATGTACAGATTAGCATATGAGGGAGCCATATTGGCCCCCATTACCGTGTCCTGTGTCTGTAAAAATAAATCATTACCAAATGTAAAGAAATTGCATGTCAACACCAGTTCAAGCAGTGATAAGACAAATTCACATAACTTGGAATCAATTTCTAATGTGGCCAATTAGTATGCCAAAGCCACAATGCCACCTACATGAGGAATGGATGTATAAAACTGCATACATCCATCATACAAAGAACAGTACCAGCATAAGAGGATTGTAATCCATTCAATTTCCCCAAGAAGTAGGTCATGTCCCATGTATAGGATTTCATCCGTACCACTAGTATCTGTAAAAAAGCATCAACATACTGTGCTAATGGTTGTAACAGCGACCCACATCCAGACACTATTGGTCTTCCAGGAGGATTCAAAATATTATTGTGACTCTTAGGAAGTAGGTAAAGAAAAGGTGCCTGGGGTATAGAGATATTCAAAAATTCTAAAAAAATTTTGTTAATCAGGCCTCCATCCAATGCCTGCAATGTGATAGTATGGATTTTTCCATGGAAATTCTCAGTCGGATCACCCGATAATTTTCTATAATAGGTCTGATTAGAAAGTTGGGCTAACGCTTCCTCTTCATATTTGTCGGTGTCCATCACAACAATGGCACCCCCCTTGTCCGCTGCATGGACAATGATGGAGTCATCCCGTTTCAGAGTGTTCAAAGCACTCCATTCCTCTTTGGTCAGATTCGAATGTCCCTTCTGGGACCATTTGATCTTGGAAAGATCCAATTGACACAATTTGATAAAGGTTTCCACCATGGGATTAGTTGCTGGAGTTGTGAACTTACTTTTATTTTTACGTTTGGATAAATCAACAGGACCAGGAACCCTCGAATTATCATTATTCTGGGCATCTCTCTGTATGTTGTCACCTGAAAAGAAAACTTTTAAATGTAATGTCCTGAAAAATTTATAAAGTTCAACATTCAAATCAAGTTTGTCTCCATCAAATGATGGTACAAAGTCCAAACCCTTTTTAAGCACACCAACCTCACTTATGGAAAGAATCCTCTTGAAGATATTCACCTCTAGTGTCTCCATGGTCTCCTCTCTCTTTCTGGGTATCTCCTGGTGGGACGGCTTATGGTGGCATCTCTTACCCCTCCTGATCTTGTGTTGCACATCCTTTGAGGCATTGCTGTTCTAAAAAATGACCGGTCCGAGCTGATCCAGCATAGACTATTACTATGCGTGGGTAACTATCTACCCGTGACACAATCACCATGTCACGGGTAGATAGTATCTCTTTCGATGGAATTGCCATTATATACCCTATTATCCAAATAATCTATGGTACAACGTTTAAATTTAGAAAGTTTCCTATGGAGGGTATCCGTTTTATGTTTAGAAAAAATACTGTCAATTTCTTCCAAATGCTTGGTAAAGGATTTCTGGCCATCAAGAGTTAAAATCCTGTTTTTGTAGTTTTTCACTCCTTTTTCATCATGCTGAAACATGCCGAAATGTTGGGGGCTTTTATTTAATTTTTTCAACCTCTTCTCACTCATTCTGCAATCTTTTTTTCTTGTATGTATTTATTGTTTGACATTATTTTCAGGTATCGATTTAAGTTTGTATCTGGATTGATACCATTGGCTCCTAGTAATGAGTATTAAATAAGCTTATCTGTGATTATGATTCATTATTTATATTCATTGTATGTATATATATATTTCTATCTATGCTGAGGCTTATTAGCATATATGTTGGGATACCAGTGATTTTGTAACCGTATAATAAAGTACATTTTATTTAGTCAGTTGTGCTCCTCATTTATTATTAAAGATTACTTATTTTTGGCCTTAGTAAATAAGGCTTCAGATTGAGCACCCCAATACTTGTGTTCTATGGTTCTATTTTGATTTTTTCATCATAGTTGATGGTCAAGTGTACCTAGCTGTTCTGTATTAAAATATACTGGTGTATCAATCCTAGTCATTAGCAAGGCCACATGCATACGTGGGTTTCAATGTGACCTCATATGATGTACATAGAAAACATAGCAGCTCCGTTAGTCCAACCTTTATGCAACATAATATAGCTTAGTAATACAACCTCACATCATGCATTGTTATAATAATTATATATTATATGGAATTTTAAAATGTCCTTTTAGTTATTGGCAAACAAATACTAGACTTGTGAAAAAGTTCAACATATTGATTGTCTGAAACAAATCCCTTTGATTCATATTCAAACTCATCAATTTGTTCTGAAACTAAACGGAAATTCCAGCTCCGAAATACAACCATCAAATTAATCAATATGTTTATGGACGAACCGAACATTTGCAACATTCTAATAGATTTTTTGAACAATTTTGCAAGACTTATTTTGCAAGACTTATATTTTTCAGCTTCAACGGCAATGAAATGGAAAACGCTTTAAGAAGAAATATCTCACACATTTTAAAATGTGATTTCACCAAGGAAAACATTACAGATCCAGTCGTTCTACCAAAAGCAGACTGCATGGTCAGTTTGTTCATTTTCCATGCGGTTTCTGAAGATCAAGACGATTACTGCCGGAACCTGAAAAAAGTGTCATGCTTGCTAAAACTGGGTGAGCATCTACTGCTATTTGTATTATTTAATGGCAATAATTACACCGTAGGTGGGAACAAATATCACATATTAACAACAACTGTCTGAAGAGGAGGTTCTGAGAGATGCAGGATTTGTTATTGAAGACATGGAAGTGATAGAAAGCAAAATACGGAATGATACATCATATTGTGAACATTTGTGTTTTATTAAGGCCTTAAAAAAGAGCCATGTGTTTATTTAAAATGGGACTTCACCTAATGTTCCATCTTAAAGGGAATGCATGCTTGAAAATGAATTCTCTCTTTTCAGAACGAATTATATATATAAAATAAATAAATAACCCTTATAAAATGTCTAATGCGTGCAATTGACACTTCCACAACACAGTAGTGCAGGAAGCAGGAAGTGACTTACAAATCAGGATCTACTTATTTTTTTCTTTAGGATCTGCTCTTCTCTCTTTTTAGGAATGAACACGAGCTAAGTACAAGTAGTTGCATTCACATACTGCATGCATTGCACAATACGGACAATATTGAAACAGGCAGCCCAGAACTGAATGTTCCAACTGCCTGAGTGACAAGTCTGAGTGACAAGGACTAGCTTACAGCTACAGCAATGTTTTACAAATCTTTGCAGTTATAAGTCACTTTCCGAGCTGAACATTTATTCAGGGAAATTGTTATGATGTTAAGACTGGCACTTTAAAGTAGTTATAGCTAAATATGGCATGGAAAACCAACCCTTAAAAATAATAAATTTTGTCAAATTTTACTCAATTAAATTTTTGTTGGGACAAATTATTTCTAGTATGTAGTCATGTGACACAAGGACAGACAGACAGAACAGTGATAGATTAAATGATGAATTTTTTCATTCTTACAGTTATACATTAAAAAATTAAATATCATTAACATTTATGTACTTGGGAACATTTCTTTAAATTGTAAGCTTTTGTGCAGGACTGTCAAAATCTGCCATGTTGTTTGTTGAATATATACAGTTATATTAATAAATGACTATATTACTACTAATAATAATTTTGAAATTATAAATAATCAACATAAATAAAAATCTTTGCATTTTTTCAAACAGGTTTATTGTTTCATTTTAAATGTATTGTTGTCTTTAAATTGATTTTATTTTATACCGCTTTGTTTTATGAGAAAAAGAAGCCAACGATATTGGAATTATAAAATGTATACTGTTTGGAATAAAATAGTGAATAAACAGGGGAAAGAAAAATAGTTTATTAAGATTAAGAAGCCTGTAGCTTATCTATATTTTTTCTTATTTGTTTTCTGGATAAGAGAATGGGAAAATCTCTTGGAAAGGACATTAACACAATCCCCTGAAATACACATGAATACATATCTATCTATTACTAGGAAAACAATCAAATGCAAGTTAAGTTATTAATTATGATTAATAACTATAAAGATGAATACAATATCCTAAATCCACTAAGAGTATAGAATATCTGATACAAATATCCCTGAATGTCTTCAAACATGTGCCAAGTAATCAGAGGCTTACCTAGGTTACATTGCACCCGTCAACCCAACATGTTACAATTATTTATCGTATCTCACAATGTTCTCCCTAACACTCTCTTGTTAGTGAAATTACACTTCCTCACAGTCATATACACATACACATTTATATACATGTATTTCAACATATACATGCATTCATATTCACTCGTTGAGCAAGGCCCTCATCAACCTATTCTTCTTGTAACGTTTTGTATTTGTCTCACTTATTGTTTAATTACCCCCTTTTTATGTTGTTAAGCTCTGTGGAATATATTCGTACCATATTAATGCCAACATAGACAGAAACACACATTGATGTACATAATTAGTGACTCAAACTTGCAAATGGACACATATACACATACACAGACTCAAATGCAAACACATTCATATAAATACACAGGCTTCACACATAGAAACTGATATACATAAACCCTCATTTGTATATACACACAGACTTTGCACACTCAGATAGAGATTCATAACATACATGCATGTACACACACAAAAAGACACAGACTCGCACACACACATATTCATATACATGCAAACATTCATATATATATATATATACATACACACTTAATTTTCACTTTATGTAATATTTTGTTTGAGGGTGATGAGCCCATTGTTGTTCAATGCTTACAGTTTTTGTCAATATGTGTGGATGGTCAAACTATTAACAAAAGTAAAACTATTTACAAAATGTTTGACAATAAAAACTAGTTAACTGTAGCCAAAGCATCTATGTATCATTATAAAATCAATGTAAATAAGTAAAGAATTGTGGAGCAGAGCAAAAAAAGATAAATAAAAAAAAATACCTCTAACCTAAATATGTGGGGAAATATACAGAAATAATAGGACTGCACTTTCCCTAAAATAAGGATACCTTCTGTCAATAATCATTATAAAAATCATCTAATTAAAGATGTTATTGTATCTACAGTGTTCTTTCTACATCCCCATGTGCTCTAATCATACAAAATGAGTGGTAAAGTTGTATATTAAGAAATGACTACTATTAAAAGGAAAGGTAAAAGGCAGAGGGGGCTGACTAGATGTGCTGAAAGTGACTGGTTGGGGGAAAGTTCATTATGTCATGACTGCTGCAATTGCAAAAATAGGAAAAGGAACCACACTCAATTCACTTAAGACAAGGGGCTTAGCTGAACCAAGGTCCCGCATAAGTGCCTGAAGACAATGGAGTGCATGGACCCTATTTCTTTTTTTTTTTTTAATTCTTTATTTTTGACGTGCATGAGAGTAACAAGCACTCTTGCTAGGCCACAACAGCAAAAGCAAGACAAATGTTAACATTAAGCTTTACAGTGTAGGCATATAGGCATAACTGCTCACATTTTTGTTAGGAAATCAAGAGTGGTGCACGTTTAAAACATAGATACAGTGTAAAAAAACAGTAAATAAAATAACATCAGGCTTGATCATGTAGTTAGTACCATATAGCTTGACAGGATTAGGCTGCACAGTGTTTTGTAAGTAAACAGGATGATGTGATTACATGTGAGAAACAAGAAAGATCATTATATTGCTTATACATCATGGATTTGGCTCACATGGAGGCGTAATGAAGGAAAACCAATTAATATATAGTTGTATGCTGGATACGTTAAGATAAGATAGAGTAACTATAAATGATAGTTATAGCCTACACATGGGGTGGAAACTCTTTGGTGTAGGTAGATACGAAAATAATATATAGGCTGGATATTGAGTGGGGTTCAAAATCGCTTAAATTGATATTGGAGCGGTATCGTCGCTTGGGTGGTATTTCAGGCCTTATTAATTTTACGCCCCTGGGTTTAGCTGAAGTGGCTTAGGGATCATCTACAGGTGCAGAGGTACAGAGGCAGGGGTGGGGAGGGGAGGTTGGGTGAGCTTAAGTGTTGGGCTGTTATGACCCTCAGCAGTGATGAAAAGGTTTTGTTAGGTGTCAAAA